GCACACGACAAGATAATTAGTATGCAAAACAACAGCGTACACTTGATTAATAAACATCCTTTGTTGTCTCGTGTTGTTTCCTATCCTTTTGTTGAGGGTCTATGGTTGTACCTGTTACAAAAATGGACTAGACATAATAACGGTCGTTATACCCCGTTATAATAGAGTTTTCCGTATATTCCTGACATACTCACAGCACGGGTAATGTAAAAACAACTTTTAGTTTGGCGCGAAACTGCAGCGCGTCCTGCTAAGAAACTTTACTTTGAGCCTTCCCGCCAACAACGAGTTCATTAATACCTGGGGTTACTCAACACTCGGGAGTTGTTTTGTAAATTACGCTATGTCAGGTGGACTCAGATGGGTATAACAATTTAAAATAACACTTTGAATGCATATACAACATATAACCTGTCAATATATGGTAACCAGCATGTGTCGTTTTGAAAACAGCGTTTTACCCGCATCTTGCAAGATAATGGAATGATTCCAATTGTGGGCGTGCCAATACAACGGCGCCATCAAGTCTAGATTGGAAAAGACCCAAGTGTTTTGCAAAGTTCCAACATATATTGCTAACTGACTGTCCGAATAATTCTCAGAACAATATTACAATTTATATCCATACTAAAAATACTACTTTTTCATCCAATGTCACCAAACAAAATTTTTAGATATGAAGAAATAATCTCACCATAGAAACCAGTGTGAAAATACTAATTGTAAACATGACTTTCAGACTTATGTATCTCTAAATATTGCATGATTTTATAGCATAAGCCCACAATAAAAACATGACCTATAAGTATAATATTCAATTCGACTAACCTTGTTAATACCATGCAATGAAGTGATATTTAAAAGACAACTTGAAAAATGAGAGAGCAGATTGTCTGATGTACTCAGACACAAATACCACACTACACTGAAACCAACTAGTTGTCTAATACATCTAAAATTGTAGATGAACAGATGAAATCATACACACCTTAGTTATCTTGTACTGCCATTTGTGACAGACATGTCGAAAGTTTTCATAGTCCAACTGATCAGCTTTGCTACTGGCATCGGTATTCGAGGCACGAAGAATCGTCACAAAACCAGGATAGTTACCACATTCCTAGATGAAACAAGTTATGTCATGACATGACAAAGTCCCCATTAGTTCAATAGTAAACAAAACTGAGGCAGCCATTTTGAATCAGGACATGAAGCTAATTACATGATGTATAATGTAGTTGTACAGTTTGATTGTGATGTGGCACACACAATACAATATTTATATCTCAGCCAGCATTACTTATGCAGTAGAAAACAATGACTGACCTTCTCATATATGTGTCTATCACTATGCCATCTCATCAGAGTTTCCAACATAGCACATAGAAATCTACCATAACGACTGGCTTCATTTTCAGTACAGCTGGCAACAATGTATGATATATCGGAAAACATCTGCAACAGAAAAGTAATAGTATATCAGCACAGAGCAATGTTTGTTACGCACCACTTGGTCAAAGGTCATCGAAACAAGCTTCATGATTTCAGCGAAGTAGTCTTGCAATAAGTGAATGGTGTTATATTGATTTCATGTCCTGAATAGTTTTTGTTTTTCTTCCCTAATTTTCAGGTAACTTAAAATCCTGCTCAAGTGTTGCTTGAGGTAAACATGATCCACAAACATCATAGCAGAGACACCAATGACATAACTGCTTTTGTTTACATTCTATTAAAGTGTTTTGGATTCATAATTAAAAGATATATCTGTGAATTAATAGAGTTCCCCTAATGTCAGGAAATGAACTGATCTAATACAAGGTCAACACAAGCTACATGTTTATATATAACAAATATCAAACCAACAGCATTTTTGACCAAAAACAACAAACATATTTGATAAAATCACAGAATTAAAGATACTGTCAACAAATATTTTAATCTAAAAGAGGTCAACGCAATTATACAGTTTTCAAGTACAAAATTGACATGGTTTGGGATGAGAGTGGTACTATGACGTTATTGCGAGGATACCTCAAAGTATGCATGAAGACAGTACAGCTGTAGTATTGACCGACGCGCAGCCAAATCAATGCGGGGCGTATTGTTATATTATACATCTTTCCTTCCAAGGATACACCATGGGAATGTCGTAATCCAAAATGTTTAGAACAGAATCAGCGAACTGCTTTGTGTGGAGTCTGGTCAAACTTTGGTGGCAGCCATGTTTGTTTTTTTAGAGGAGGCTTATGTGCGTAATCGTTCCATATTTGGAATTCGTATTTCCTAATAAGTATGGTAGGATGAAAACACCGCATAAAATATCGGCACGCTGTGACTTATGGCGTTACGGTGGCAGATGTACAATATTGAGTGTTATACAGTGAATTATTCATAAGCAAATGACGAAACCTACATCTTTCGTATTAATGTAAATTACCATGCGTTCAGGGCTGTGCAACAGATTGCTGAATCCTTTTTCATTGCTTGCGCTTTCATGAAATTTACCAGACTCTGACAAAAACAGTGAGTTTATATTTCTAAACCCATACTTTGTCGTGGTGTTTTTTAAATTGAAATAAGTCCAATTTGGCTGAATGCTGGGAACCACAAAATTCAATGGCCTGGACCAGAAATTGTTCTGTCTAACGTTAGGGGTGAGGACCATGCAAGTTCCACCAAAACTAGTTCCTCTGAATGATGGGAACCAAGCCAGTTGGTAAAAAGGTTAATCAAAACAAGTTGAACTAAACAAGGATATTATTATTTGACTTACCCTATCATAGCACAATAGAGTTGAGAAGTTTGGCGTTTTCAGACCATGAACAGTGTGGACAAACTTAGCACAGTACACAGAATCACTGGCAGTGAAACAGCATCGAGGAAATATACACAACTGTAAGAACTGCGTTATAGTCTCATTCTTTGTGGAACCTACCAACATCACAAAATAGTTAAATCAATATACCGGTATGCTAAACTCTGTTCCCCAAACTAAATCAGTACCTAATTGACAGATCAGTACCTACTTCACTTGAGTCAAACAAGATACATTCACTGTGACAGATCAGTACCTACTTCACTAGAGTCAAACAAGATACATTCACTGTGACAGATCAGTACCTACTTCACTAGAGTCAAACAAGATACATTCACTGTGACAGATCAGTACCTACTTCACTTGAGCCAAACAAGATACATTCACTGTGACAGATCAGTACCTACTTCACTAGAGTCAAACAAGATACATTCACTGTGACAGATCAGTACCTACTTCACTAGAGTCAAACAAGATACATTCACTGTGACAGATCAGTACCTACTTCACTAGAGTCAAACAAGATACATTCACTGTGACAGATCAGTACCTACTTCACTAGAGTCAAACAAGATACATTCACTGTGACAGATCAGTACCTACTTCACTTGAGCCAAACAAGATACATTCACTGTGACAGATCAGTACCACTTGAGCCAAACAAGATACATTCACTGTGACAGATCAGTACCACTTGAGTCAAACAAGATACATTCACTGTGACAGATCAGTACCACTTGAGTCAAACAAGATACATTCACTGTGACAGATCAGTACCTACTTCACTTGAGCCAAACAAGATACATTCACTGTGACAGATCAGTACCTACTTCACTAAAGTCAAACAGGATACATTCACTGTGACAGATCAGCACCACTTGAGTCAAACAAGATACATTCACTGTGACAGATCAGCACCACTTGAGTCAAACAAGATACATTCACTGTGACAGATCAGTACCTACTTCACTAGAGTCAAACAAGATACATTCACTGTGACAGATCAGTACCACTTGAGTCAAACAAGATACATTCACTGTGACAGATCAGTACCTAATTCACTTGAGTCAAACAAGATACATTCACTGTGACAGATCAGTATCTACTTCACTTGAGTCAAACAAGATACATTCACTGTGACAGTGCTAACACACACACACACACACACGTCTGACAGAGCAAATGCAGTACTCTGATAAATCTAAACATACAGCACTACAATTACTGTCACTGCTATATACGACACCCAAACAGCAACACTGCCAGTTTCTGACTTGTTTCTGGCTTGCTACATGCATACATTGTTTGGATAACTTTACTGTTACAGCATGAAATAAATTGAAAGATAATTGCAACTTATATTGTGTTCCTGTGTATTAGTTTGATGTCTCGTATTGTGGTTAGTTTGACCCAACCTGTTGGAATACTGCGACACTCATAGCAAACTAGTCAGATATTTAGCTAGCTGCCATTTTGGTAAATGAAACAATATGGTGTAGGCAACAGTGACGGGAATAATGAGTTGGAATGTCAAAAAATGTATGTCAGATTACATCCATATTACAAAATATATTATCAAGCAGTCTCTCGGCTGAGATAGCTCCACTGTTAGCAATGCACATTTCAATTAAAGAACTGAAGATATCATTAGAAAATGAACAAATCTGAACAAACACTCATATGATAAGCTCCGCTCGACAAAGTGAACAGCAGAGCTAATAACAAAGTCCGATTTTTGCATTGCTGAGAATCATTTCGAAATTTGACAAGGCAGGTATTTACTAACAAAGTATTTACACAGTAACTACACTTTTAATATCATTTATGCCAGATTAACCTAAATTGGAAATTTTAAAACCACAGGCATGACCAAAATTAGAAATAGGTATACTCCAAAAATTGATACGATGATTTTTTTGAAAGCTAGATGACTCTAACCAAAGAAATGGGAGTATATCCAAGAACTGATCACCATTTTAGAGCTACTTTTTATGTCAACTTGTAGTCAAATACCATGAAACACTTGGCCTTAGCACATTGTAGCCATTGTAGCGTTGTATATAAGACAGCAATGGCACAATTGGAGCATACTTACAAGATGATAGTGTCTTTGATTACATTATATCCATTGTGTAGTTAGAAAGTGTACTTACATGTTGTATACTTACGTGATTGAAACCAGTTGTCTTTTTCATTTTTCAGTCTTGCAACCACTCGTTGACAATGCTCCTGTTGTTTTTTCTCTTCATCTTTCAGTTTATCTATCAATAGATTGTATTTCTCTTTCTCTTTTCTCTTCTTGCTGGGTGCCTGAAACAAAAATAATCGACAGGATGTCACTTAAAAAATAAATAAAACTCACACTGAACCATTTCATTCAAAGCTTATGAACTGCACAGATGATCTTTGACAAGTTTTTTGCTTTAATTTGTTCTTATTTTTTGACAGGTTTATTGTTTCATGGTAGCAGTTAACACCACAAGACATTATCAATGGAGATAACAAACAGAGCAAAGTAATGTTTTATCTAGTTGCAGGCAGTGAAGATGTTAAAAGACGTACAGACAAAAGTGTAGATGCAAATCTAATGACAAGAATGCAAGATTAAATACAATATAACTTCTCAAAGAAACAGATAAGCAGCCTATTCTCTCATCTAACTCACCACATCTCTATTGTCTTCTAGTGTTGATAGCTGTGACTTTATTTTATTGATCTCCTTTTCATAACTACCGCTTGGCACATACAAATCATACATCGTCAGTGACCAGAATGTAACATAGAACTGTGGACTGTAGAAAAAAAAAAAAATTAGCAATTCACCAAGAAAATTAGCAATGTAGGGATTGGCTGTTTATAAGCACATCTTAGAAATGTACATAAACAGCCCTTGACATAACAACGCCATTGCAACTGAATTTATTAAATGGTGATTAAAAATGGATGAGCAAGTGACTTAATGAACAGTGTAATGGGAATTCATATCAACTATTCAATGTGTGATCTCCCAAACACGCATTCCCAGTTTCACAATCGACCATACTGCAAAGTGTGACAAAGCACAAGTGAAAATCTTTTCAAAATTTTCTATTTCTACAGACAACGATTATCAGTTGAATCAAATTATGAAGTCTCATGAAAAATTATTGTGCACATTTTAACCAAGCTAGATCAAGGAGATACAGTAATAGCTGAGAACACTGATCTTATTTATACTAACTTGTGATACATGCATAGGTGAATGGTATTAGTTTTAAATAAATATATTAAAAAAATGTGCTTCTATTTGTCTGTTCATGAAAGTAATGTAATGTAAAGAGAAATCAGACCTGATATCGTCCCACACTTTAGTAACATGTAAAGATCTAACAGATTCAATCACTGGTGTCATGACAATTTCAACAGCTTGTACATAGCGCTGAGATTTCTGACCACTTGATGAGGATTGCTTACTGCCCTTTTCAGCTTTTCTCAGTTCATCAACCTTGGCCTATCAAAACAATACAAATGTATGAATCATACTTGTGTGAAAAAATCAATCTTAAACCACCTCTGAGTCAATACTCAATGCTCCTAACATTAGAAACACATTCATAGTCGACATATAGAAACTACAGTACAGCGCAGGTACAAGTTAATATTCAATCTTGGTTTTGCCTTTGCATAAATACTTACAGTATTATTGCCATCAATAAATTCATTTATTAACATATTTATGTAGATTACTCTGAACAATTTAGATATGTGAAAGTTTTGAAAGTAAGCTAAATATTAAGTTACACACAGACCGTACTCTACACGTCTGCTAATAGATGAGCACTGAATTCTTACCGTAATTGCGTGTGCAAACATTGGTCTGTACATGTAGAAAGCGGCATCTGCCGTGATATGATATTTCTCCACCATTTCACCAAGTGGTGGCAGTTTTTTAGTGTAGTCTTCTGTACCAAGCTGAGTGGCAAGAAAACCACCAAATTGCACTAAGGTATCTTGACACTGTGAAAACACATAGAAAATACACAGTGAGTTTGGTATACTGGGTGCAATCTATGCATCACTGTGAACACATATATCACTGAGTATCACTGAGCAAAATGAAACATGATGTGGTACACAACAAATGATGTTGCAGTCACCGACTGCTTTTAGGAGAAAACAATAAAAAAATCGAAAATCAAAGAAAGTCAAGAAAGAACCCAAAACTGACAAGCGGTTCTTTAGATAATGTTGAAACACACACACACATAAATACAGAGTAGCTGCAAATACTCCTATTGTCTGCTTTGCTTTGCACAGAAATAAATCATTTCACTTTTTAGTCAATCTTGTAAATAGTGGTAGCCAGGCAGTCAATATTCATTGTCTATTTAATTTATCGCTAACAGTATACTTATAACTAGAATTGTTGGTCAAATAGAATAAACAAATCATTTGTAGGTGTACTCACCTGGTCAAATAGTTTGCCAACAAGCTTTAAATGTTTCTCTTGACCTTCTTTGAAAACAATACAGTTCCTCTGCTGTGCCATAAGAAGGCATATTGGTATTGCTAAGTCATTTTCTAACAGTGCATCTTTCAATCGCTGGGAGGATTTCTTGGTGTTACGGACTTGTGAGAAATACCCACCCTAGAAAGTAAAATATATTAAATATATCACTGTTCGCTAGTATGAAATACACTAACAGAGCAATTATAAGATAAGCAGTGAACTTAGACTTGTAGTGTAGATTAAGTCATGAGCAAAAAAAAAGAACCTTCTTGTTGGGTAAACCACATTTGAGTAGTAAGCTTGACACACCAACACAGATCTTCTGATCTAGCATATTTTTTACTTGACGTTTTGTGCAAAGAAACTACACATTTGACCAACAAGTCACCACATGTTAATATTCATAGTATTTGGCCCATATTGAATATGCTAGGTTGCGACGACCACCATCAATGAACAACCAATGACACAGTAATACAAGTCAGTGTAGCAGATTTTTTGCAATTAATATTCATTTGTTAACATGTCATCGACTGATCCTGTTAATGTACCCGTTCATATAAGTAATGTGTTAACAAATCTCATAAAAATATACTACTGGTATCCAATAAAAATACTTGATGCAGAGTATGATGACCTTACCTCAGCTCGTAAAAGTTCACCACCAGCCAATGCATCCAACTGATCTACTGTGATTTCCTCTGTAGATTCAATACCAGACATCTTCTGTACAACTTCTTTTAAAATTAACAAATCAAAACTGCAAGAATGAATATGGATAATGGTATATTAGTATAGATGTATGGGCAGAAAGTACTTGATAGGGAGGACCCTCTCA